GAGGTGTTCTGCGTCCTTCTGCCACAGAATAATTACTTGAGTGTCCGTTCTGGACACTACCTGCTAATGCCTTAAATCAAAGCAAGAATAACTATTACAGAAAACATAAAATTCTATTAGTGCAGTTTGGAAAATTTCATGTAAATCAATGTCCTATTTGACCTACCAGGGCTGTCCAACCTGTGCCCTGCGGGCCGCATGCAGCCCAGGATGGCAATGAATGTGACCCAACATGAAATTGTAAACTTACTTAAAACCTTTTTTTTAGCTCATCAGTTTTTGTTAGTGTTTGTGTATTTAATGTGTGGCCCAAAACAACTCCTCTTCTTCCAGTATGGCTCAGAGATGCCAAAAGTTTGGACGCTCCTGATTAAAGTTAAGTAAATAGACTAAGTTTGTATATTCTTTGAGATCCAATCAGTTTTTTTAAGAGAATTTTTTTCCTATTTGCCCTGAAACATGAACAGAAACAGCAGAAAGTATTTGCCAGAAAACAGATATCCCCTTGTGAGGCCAGTAAATACTTTCAAGTTATGGGATCTCTATTAGCACAGTAGCAAATGGCTCTCTGGCTGGGCCCATGTGGTGTTTGTAACCTCTTTTTGTAATTTCAGTCATGGTACTGTAAAATCTCTGTTACTTTTAAGCAAATTTCAACATTTCTCTCTCATTCATTTTACTGCTTACAAAGCCTTTGTACATTTTGCTTTTCATATTCTTAACACTGTACAAATCTTAATCCTCCCAGATAACTGTTTAGCTGTAACTCAGATGTATATCCAAGACAGAACTTAGAGATTCTCTTTTAATGAATCATGATTGAATATTGTTTATAGATGGTTTTTTTTCTTTAAAATGACAAGGGTATTTCCTATGCAGAATGTTATCATCAGGAAATTAGCAGCCATCAAATCCACTCCCTGCCTAATGTTTGTCTTCTCAAATGGCTAATAGGTTTCAATTGAGCCTGCATTCTAGCCAAAGGAAAATGGTAAACACTAAACATATAGCAGGCACATATTAGTTCATGATTTTGGGGTGCAATGGAAGCAAAGGGGACTTGAGACATATTCAGGTAAACTGATGGAAAAAATGACTTTATTTTCAACCTTTCTTTTTAAATTTTGAAATAAACTTTTATTTTTTAATTATATTTTATTGATTATACTATGAGAGTTGCCCTGATTTTTCTACCTTTGCTCCCCTCCACCAAGAATCCCCCACTGCCTCAGGCAATCCCCACACCATTGTTCATGTTCATGGGTTATGGATATAAGTTCTTCAGCTACTCCATTTCCTATACTGTACTTTACATCCTCATGGCTATTCTGTAACTACCTATTTGTATTTCTTAATCCCCTCACCTCTTCACCCATCTCCTCACATCCCCTCCTACCTGGCAATCATCAAAATGCTCTCTATCCATGATTCTGTTTTTCTTCTTCTTGTTTGATTAGTTTGTTTTTTAGATTCAATTATTCATATATATGTATTTTTTGCCATTTTATTGTTCATAGTTTTGATCTTTTTCTTAACTGAGTCCCTTTAACATTTCATATACTATTGGTTTGGTGATGATGAACTCCTTTAGTTTTTTCTTGCCTGGGAAGCTCTTTATCTGTCCTTCAATTCTAAATGATAGCTTTTCTGGGTGGAGCAATCTTGGCTGTAGGCCCCCGCTTTTCATGACTTTGAATATTTCTTGCCAATCCCTTGTAGTCTGCCAAGTTTCTTTTGAGAAATCAGCTGATGGTCTTATGGGAACTCCTTTGTAGGTAATTACCTGGTTTTCTCTTGCTGCTTTTAAGGTTCTCTCTTTGTCTTTGACATTTGGCATTTTAATTATGATATGTGACTTGCATTAGGCCTATTTGCACCTATCTTGTTTGAGACTGTTTGTGCTTCCTGGACTTGTATGTTTATTTCCTTTACCAAATTAGGGAGGTTTTCTTTCATTAATTTTTCAAAGAGATGTCCAGTTTTCTGCTCTTTCTCTTTTTCTTCTGGCACCCCTATGATGCAAATGGTAGACCTCTTGAAGTTGTCCCAGAGGCTGCTTATACTATTCTCATTTTGGATTCTTTTTTATTCTTGTTCTGCGTGTTTGTTTGTTTTTTCTCTTTCTTATGTTCCAAATCATTGATTTGATTCTTGGTTTCATCTACTCTACTGATGTTTCTCTGTAAATTGTTCTTTATTTCAATTAGTGTATCCTTTGTTTCTGACTGGATCTTTTTTATGCTGCTGAGGTCCTTACTAAGTTCCTTGTGCATCCTTATAACCAGTGTTTTGAACTCTTTTTCTGCTAGATTGCTTATCTCCATTTTGTTTAGCTCTTTTTATGAAATTGTGATCTGTTCTTTCATTTGGGCCATGCTCTTTGTATCCTCATTTTGGCAGCCTCCCTGTGTTTGTTTCTATGTATTAGGTAGACCTGCTTTGACTCTGTGTCTTGGTGGTGTGGTCTAATGTAGTTGGTGTTCTGTAGGGTCCAATGGCACAGCCTCCTCTATCATCTAACATGGGTACTCAAGGTGTGCCATTTGTGTGGGCTGAGTACACCATCCTCTAGTAGTTGGTTGCTCTTGGCAGATCAGTGGGAGGAATTTACGTAGGCCAGTCAGCTGCAAGGATTGGTTGTGACCACTTACCACCAACCTCCATCCTCTGTGGAGGATCAGCTGTTTAGGTGTAGGGTGGAGGTGTTTCAGCTTGGTCTATAGCTGTCCACTGGGTGGGTTGGCCCTGGGGTTTCCAGGGTGGTTCAGACCCTGCCCCAGCTATTAAGCAATCTTTGATGGCTGCTACTTATGCTAGGCTTGGAGATTCCCAGTAAAGTGAAGCTGTGAATCTAGGCTGGCTGCTGCTAGTGTTGAGCCTGGGGCTCAGTGAGGCCAGCTGTTGCTTGTTTGAGAGGCTTTAGGAAGTTGTGGAGAATGAGCCAAGCCATTCCAGCCATTCATATGGAAAAGTTCCTTGGGTAGTCCTGTAAGTTGGGTGGGGCAGAGTCTCTGGGAAACTCCAAGGCTGGTCAAACAGTATTAGCCAGGTAATGGAGCCTCAGGTATGGCATCAACTTGCCCTCTCTGTGGCTCTGTGGGGGGAGGGCCTAGAAAGGAACAATGGCCTCTGCTTGCTTTGCTGCTAGACACCAAAGTCTCTCTCAGCATGCCATTGGTGACTGAAGCTGCTCACTCAGTGCTGGAGCTCAGAGGGAGTGAGTCTGAATAGGTGAGTCCGTGTGTGGGTTCCTTAAGAGAAACTGCTTGGGACTCCTTCTGAAGTTTCTTCCACCGACTCAATCCCTTTTTGTGTTTGCAGCCACAAGTTGTGGGGACTTATCTTCCTAGTGTGGGAATCTTGGGCTGGAGGGCTTAGTGTTGGGCTGGGACTCCAAGGTCTTGAGATATCCCTCCCACACACATGTGGGATCAGCCCTTTCTGCATCTGTGCCCCTCCTACCAGTCTGGATGGATGTGCTTTCTTTAATTCTGTAGTTGTCAGATTTCCATGCAACTCAATTTCTGATGGTTCTAAGTGATAGTTGTTCTATATTTTAGTTGTAATTTTGATGTGATGTGAGAAGAGGTGAGCCATGTCTGCCTATGCTGCCATCTTGACCTGAAGTCCTATTTTCAACCTTTCAAAATGAGGTGTATTTGACATAAAAAATGGCATATTGGAAGCTATTAAACATCCAAGAAATTAGATATTTATGTTATAATTTTAATAAGCTCATATTTCTGAGATTACCTTAGAAGCCAAAAGCAATGCTTTTGCTGACTTATATGCTAAACAAGCAGTTCTTGTTACCCTACCCATATGCTTGCCACTAATTTAATATCTATGCTCATCAAGCTTTCAGAAGGCTAATTGACTCAATTTGAACAATTTGCCAACTGGTAATTTTATAACTTCATTATTTTCTCTCCATTTACTTGTAATATAAGGAAACATTTCTTGTCCCATTAATTTACTTATTCCTTTTTATGCAAATATAGACTCATAGATTTCTTTTCATTTCATAAATGTTCTGTTATTATTTTATTCTCATGCTCAATTAGTTTCATATTTAGCCTGTGGAAACCCTTTAAAGAGGATTCTATGTCCTTTTGACATACCTCCATCATTTCTGGGGTCACTGTGTACTTTCCAGAACTGCAAGTTATTCCAGGCTTATCTTTTACTTTCTCAGCTCTACCACTAAGAATCAAGTACATTTCCAAGCAGGAAGATTCCTTTTAATGGAGGATGGTACTTGGAAATCAAGATCAGGGTTGAGGTGTGCTTTTTGATGCTGGGCAATCTTTGCTTCTAGGTCCTTTTAATTGGCAGAGCTGAGAAATATAAATACATCTACATCCATTTATTTTTCTCTCTTTATCCATCTATTTAATTGATTAAAACTCATGACTTTATACTGACAGCTTTCATTCCAATTCAGCACCACAGAATTTATTCTAACTTCCTACTTTCCATATTTGTAACTTCTTTCTCCCACAGTGAGAAATCTGGCTTCTTTAATCCTTTCTATATTTAATCATTTCTTCAGTTCTACAGTACACACCAGGTAGTTTCAGAATTGCTAACTCACATTGCTACCAAGAATAAACCCTTTAACTAGAGTTCCCTATTTGTTTACAGTTATTTTTTTGGTTTTAGACTCAGGACACAGAGTCAAAATATTGTGTTCTAAGTTACTCAGGTTAGTTCTATTTTCTGCTTTACACAGTACATTTTAAAATTTGAAACATAGTTAGGCTATATCATTCCTGTTATTTTAGGTTTTATTCTCCTGGCATTTTTAGTTGTATTTTTGAGTGCATAAAATATTAATAAGCTCAAAAAGTCAATGTCAAAGCTATATACATATATATGTGTCCTTAGAAAAGAGTCACTACCTTGTCCACAATCCCTTCTACTCTTTTTCCAGTTTGCCTCTGTATATAACCAGTCTCATTCATTTCTGATATAGTCTTACTGAATTTCCTTTTGAATAATAAAAAATTAAATGCTTTAAGAATTTGTATATTATCCTTGCATGGGGGCTGTAGTATCTTCTCTGTATCGTTTCAGTTGTAGTATTTGTATTCACCAAGCAAGCACTACTGGCTTTATTTTTATTGTCTTATGATAGCAGCACATAGAACCAAGTGATAGATTTTGGAGGTGTGTCATTGTTGAATCCCCAGATTTGTCAACTGGGCTTTATTCTTAACTTTTCCAGTGTCTTACTTGTTTATACCATCAGCATTGATTATGGTTTACATTTGAGCATGATTTAACTTGATAGGCTGTTGCGAATAGGCTATTCAATTTGAATGGATATAAGATTTTTACCTTTTCTTTCATATTCCTTTTATTTTTTAATTATATTTTTGGTTAGAATTCTCTAATTTTACTTATTTGTTTATTTGAAATATTTTATTTGTTTATTTTTAGAGATGGGGAAGGAAAGGAGAAAGAGAAGGAAACATCAATGTGTAGTGTTTCATGTTGCCTCTCACATGCCCCCTACTGGGGAACTGGCCCACAACCCAGGTATGTGCCCTGACTGGGAATCAAACTGGCAACGTTTTGCTTTGCAGTATTGTGGTCAATCCACTGAGCTATACCAGCCAGGGCTATTTATTTATTTTTAAAATTTGAAATTACAGTTGACATTCAATATTATCTTAGTTTCAGGTATACAGTATAGTGGGTAGACATTTATATAACCATATTCTATCATTATGAAGTGACCCCCTGGATAAGCCTAGTACCCAACTGGCACCACATACTGATATGACAATATTACTTATTATATTCTCTATACTGTACTTTATATCCTCATGATTATTTGGTAGCTGTCAATTTGTATCTCATAAGCCCTTCTCTTTTTTCACCCAGCTCCCACCCCTCAACCGTCTGGTAACAATCAGTTTGTTCTCTGTTCTCTATGTACCTGTTTCTGTTTTTTTAGATTTCATATATAAGTGAAGTTGTATGATATTTGTCTTTTTATTTCTGACTTGTTTCACTTGGCATAATACCCTCTGGGTCCATCTGTGTTGTTGCAAATGTAAGATTTCATTATTTTTATGGCCAAGTAATATTTCATAATATATAGACATATATCCAAACCACTTCTTCTTTATTCAGTTGTCTACTGACAGACACTTAGTTTGCTACCTTAGCTTGGCTATTGTAAATAACACTACAATATATGTTTTCAAATTAGTGTTTTGGGTTTCTTCAGATAAACAGGCAGAAGGGGAATCACTGGATCATAAGGTAGTTTTACTTTCAATTTTTTGGAGGAAACTCCATACTGTTTTCCACAGTGGCTGCACCAGTCTGCATTTTACCAGCAGTCCTCAGTGTTCCCTTTCCTCCACATTCTTGCCAATATTTTTTGATTATGGATTTATTGATGATAGCCATTCTGGTAGGTGTAAGGTGATATCTAATTGTGGTTTTAATTTGTATTTCTCTGATGATTAATGATGTTGATCATCTTTTCATGTCTGTTGGCCATCTGTATGTCCTCTTTGGAGAAATGTCTATTTAGGTCTTCTACTTTTTAATCAGATTGTTTATTTCTTTTAGTGTTAAATTGCATGAGTTCTTTATATATTTTGACTATTAACCCCTGATTGGTTGTATCATTGGTAAATATCTTTCCCCATTCAGTAGGTTGTCTTTTCATTTTGTTGATGGTTTCCTTTGTTGTGCAAAACGTTTTTATATTGGTATAGTCCCATTTATTTTTCTTTTGTGTCTCTTTCTCTAGGAAGTATATCTAAAAATGTTACCAATAACAATGTCAAAAGTGTTATTACTTGTGTTTATTTCTAAGAGTTTTATGGTTTTGGGTCTTGCATTTAAGTCTAATCAATTTTCAACTTATTCTGTATGGGATAAGAAAGTGGTCTAGTTTCAGTTTTTTGTATACAGTTTTTCCAACACTATTTATCAAGGACACTGTCTTTACTCCATTGTATATTCTTGTCTCCTTTGTCTAAATTAATTGACTATACAGATGTATATTTATTTCTGGGCTCTCTATTCTGTTTTATTTCCATTTGTTTTTATGCCAGTACCATGCTGTTTTATTACTATATAGACTTGTAGTATAGTTGGATATTAGGTAGAGTGATAGCAACTTTGTTCTTTCTCAAAATTGCTGTGATTCTGTTTTGTGTGTGTGTGATTCCATATAAATTTTAGGATTACTTATACTAGTTCAGTAAACAATGCTATTGGTATTTTGATAGGTATTGCCTTGGATCTATAGATTGTTTTGGGTAGTATGGACATTTTAATGATGTTAATTCTTCCTACCCATGAGCATGGTCTATATTTCCATTTAGAAATGAAAATATAACTTTCCTTGAAAGTTTCAAGGAACACTTTCAATGTCTCTGGTTATATTTTGCTTGCTTGTTTGTTTTGTTGATTATTAACAAATAAGTGTTAAGGAACTGATTTTGCTCCATTGCTTCGTCTGTGCTGGAGTATTGTCAAAAGATTTTGATGATTTTGTTTTGAAAATCTCTCACTCATTCTCAATACTTTTAATTTTATTTTAGTTTTGAAACTTGGTTAAATTAGTTTGATTGGAAAGACTTCTAAAATTCTTTTTTTTTTAATTTTTAAAAATTTTAATTGCTGTTCAAGTACAGTTTTCTGTCTTTTACTCCCATCCTAGTCCACCCACCCAGCCCTCCCCCCTCCCTTCCATTTTCACACCCCCCATAGTTTTTGTCCATGTGTCTTTTATACTTGTTCTTGTAAACCCTTCCCCTTTTCCCATGAAATTCCCTCCCCTCAACCCTCTGGACACTGTCAGCCTGTTCTCTATTTCAGTGTCTTTGGTTATATTTTGCTTGTTTGTTTGTTTTGTTGTTTAGCTACCTGTTAAAAGTGAGATCATATGGTATTCGTCTTCTAAAATTTTTGAGGCGAATTATATATTTATTTAGCTTTCTTTAAACTTTCTTTTATTCTTATTATCATATATCATGTATATTGGAGTCCAAGCCAGCCCTTTTTGATCACCTTTGTCTTATAAAAATGAAAACATTAAAAACCAAAGTTGATGAAGGCATGGCAAACTTGGACTATAGGTGTTTATGATTGAAAGTTCCTGGAGGAAATATGTAGAATTAGGGCCTCCAGGCAGAGAAATTTTTAGTTTGTACTTATAAAAGGGCAGAGCAAGGCCAGTCTATGTTAAGTTTTAGAATCTACTGGCTATAGACAAAGATCTTAGAGGGTTTCTTCCTTTAATTCTCTCTGTGCATGCGTGTATTGTGTTTTTAGTAGAGAATGATATGTCATAAAAAGGTAGTGTTTTGACAGTGACCCATCAAAAAATTACTTTTGCTTATATTCCCTCAATAAATATATGCTTATGTACAAGGTAATACTTGTTCTACTATACTAACATATTTTTAAGTACTAGAACAAAAATAAGAATTAAAAATTATACATGATGTATGATAGAATTTATACTATAAATTATAGGTAGAGTATATATAAATAGAAATTTCAATAATTTTATTCCATGCTAGTATTTGATCTTGTGTACTCTTGCGGTGTATGGGCACCACTTGGGAGGCTGCTGGTATAATGGAAACCACACAGGAGTTAGAGGACCTAGGCGCCAATCTTGGATATACAATTTCTGACATAGTAGTCCAAGGACATTTACTTATTATCTCTCCAGTTTACTCTCCTCTTTTGTAATGAGGATAAAATGAAATGATTATGGAATATTTCTAGTAGATTACTTGATGTAAAATAGTTTCAACAAGTTTTAATACAATCCGAATGGTATCTTATATTTTTTTCCTCAAGAGCAATCATCAGGGAAGATATTTAAATATAAATGCTAATGGACAGAGAACTTTTATTATGATCACTTATATTATTTGATGAGGGGAGCAAAAGTTTACCCAATGGAAAAAGTTGTCTAAAGATTTCAGCATGCTTCCTGTTCACATTTATGTTTTTTTCAACAGTCAAATCAACTTCCTGTATAATAAATTATAAAAATATTTATCAAATGGTTGCCATGAGCCAGGCTTTGGACTAGGAGATAAAATGGTTGAACAGATGGGTGTGTAGTTTATTATATATTTGAAACTTTGTGTGCTTTGTTTTTATTTGATTTATTTTTCTCAGCTGAGTTTAATATTTGAATTATATAAACCATAAATTTGACATGGTTTTCTGGAGAAAGCATAGACTTTAGAGTTAAATATAGAGGTTCAAATTCCACCTCTATGATTCTTATGTCATCTCTCAAGCAATATTCCTGAACTTTACCTCTATTATTTATAAAATGGAGATAATTATCATCATTTTTAGGTTGTCGTGAGGTTAAATTATAATATTTGTGAAGTACTTGCAAGTTCTAGGCAAGTAATGTTATGTGCCACAAATATTAATTATATTTAGAAAACCTTTGAAAGAACCTTGTAAACCACAAAAATAAGAATCTACATCTCAATTCTAGAAGGAATTGTCATTTAAGTCATGCCCTGACCTCAGATAAGAGCTACATTCATATTAATATGAACATATCTAATCCTTACTGTAACTGTTACTGAGTTTTAACCCTATACTGAGTTTTAATTTTTGTGTTACCATTTTTCATATTTCAGATGAACATTTACAGTTTAGAAAAGAATTCATTATTTTTGTTTTTCTCAAACTGTAAGAGAAAGTTAATGTAAAAAGCCACAGAGATAGAAGTGAGTCACAGAAGAGAGAGGCTCAGGAAATGAGTTGAAGAAAAGAAGGGCTCTTGGAGCTTAAGGGGGATAGGAAGGAAGAAAACCATGCCTTCAGGGACAAAAGAGGAAGGAGAGGGTGGACCCAATATGGTGGACGAGTGAGTGGAAGTTACACTAACCTCCTCCCAGGATCTACTTGGACTTACAACTGAAATGTGGAGAAATCAACCTGAATAACCAACTGAACACTAGCAGGAGAGAAACCTTATAACCAAGGACAGAGAGATGAAAACACTTCACCACAATGAGACTAGTATGGAGTACAGAGCTACAAGAAGGATAGCTGGGCTCCCACAGTAAGCAGCTGAAGTTTTAGAGGGATAT